GGAGGGCTTCGAGTGCAAGAGCGTGAAAATCACTCATTCACACCGCATAAGGGTTAATAGTTCAACAAAACTGCTGCTGAATATTACTTCATGCGAGGTTCCCATAAGGTTCCTTTCTCACAATTGTTCCAAATCAGAAAACTGTCAAGATCGAAATGAAACCAGAGAAAACGATGTAAAAAAATCCTACACTTACTCGCATTATTGGTGGTGTCGTTTGAGGAGCAAACGAAAAAAGTAACTCGCGTGGCTGTGCTCTCAAATATGATCCAGTCTCTTCAACATTTATTGTTTGCCTGAAATGTCTGATTGCTTCAAAAACTGATTCAAATTCTCACAAGAAGCATGTTCATTACTGCGACTGATTATGACCAAACCGAAAAGACATCGTTTTTGATGGAACACAAACCGGACGAGACGTTTGATGGAGTTGACACACGAGAACTGATGCGTTGCAGTGACACTGTCCAGGGTTTCCGCAGCGCTGAATTCCACTCGCATTGTTTTTGATTCGTTTGCGCCGATCGATTCGAAACTCTTCAAACATAAGTGCGAATTATAGAACGAGCAGAGTTTTCAGAAGCTAACATTGTGAACTCATTGAAGTCATCTACAAAACTAACTTGTTCAACTTTATCGATGGTCAGCTTATCTCGAGGTGTTATCACCTGAACCCAGCATCCAGCCAGCGGAATATCACCGTTATTGTGAAGCCGATACGTCTCCTCGGCAATACTGCCACGCTTCAGTTTGATTGTCTTCTCATAATCAACATCAAAATCAGCATCCGACCAAGCGATGATTCGTTGTGAAAGATAAACCGAACTGTCACACGGTTCACCTGGATGACTGGCGATCTGAGAAAAGTATTAATTCGGAGAAATGTGCTGCGAATATCACTTGGATAATCTTTTAGGAATGCGTACCCTTTCAAAGCTCTTCGACAGGAAACAGTTTTCAACTGATTGAAATGATCTTCAGTCGTTACTTTCGCAGAATTATAGCGGTATGAAATCTAAAGCATAAACTAACCACTTTATAAGTGGAAGCTTCATCGCTCGGTATATGCACGAACTCGAAACGACCTTCGCTATCGCTCTCCACTGCAACATCTTCGAAGAGAATTCCATTTCGAAAGGTTCGTAGACGAACTGGAACGCGACCGAAGTTCTATAATGTTCTCAAACTAACGAATTTTTTCAGTCACTTGATTACATTCACAGATTCTCAAAACTGGTTGATTTACAGACAGCTTATAGGGATATAATAGAAATTATGGCGGGTTTCAACAATGAAGCGCTTTCTGATGAGATTAATTATGCCGAACAGAGAACAGATGGAATCTTTAGCAAAATAATCCGAGATAATTATGAGGCACATCTTTCTAAATGCTGGGAGACGAGGAGTTGAAAACGAACGCGCTGATCGATGAACTGTACGATTCCTTGTACAGCTCGTTTATTGGTGTCACCAACGTTCGTAAGACGAATGACGATTGGTGAGTACGTTGGCTCTACAGTAAGATTCCAGCTGATCGTTGATTCGCCCAATTGCGAGGCCACCGTGACATTGACCGAATACGGTGTTGTACGTCCAATTGGTTTCAGCCATTTCACCATACCATCTGAACTCACTTCCATCCCATCAGCATTTGTCTCCAAATTTAGAATTGTCGTCTCTTCCTGCGTAATTGACAGCCATAATTTTCAAACAATTGAGAAAAGCATTCATATTTGTAAAGCCGAACTCCCATTTATTCCAAAAATTGGCAATTGGTAATTTGGGATCGAAAGATTTCATGCTTCATTCTAGAGTTGAATGTATTCTGGCCATTATCTGAAAATTCCAACAAATTAAGTTTTTTTTCAAATCAGATGTTTTAAAGAACATCTGTGAAGTTTATGCTGAGCGATTGCAGGGAGCAAACCTTCAAAGGGATTTTAACGTTGTATGGCTTCCCTTCGACGGCTTTTGTTAGTTGAGTGTTAGATAAGGTCTGATGATTTATTGACGATGGTATATTCGTCTGAAAGTAGGAAATAGTTGAAGTGGAGAGCTTTTTGCAGAAAAGATAAAGATGCTCGGTCACTTCGTGGATTGATTTC